TTCACCAGGGTTATCAAGTCGAATTGACTTAATGGGTTAATTTAGGAACTGTGCTCGCAACTTAATTATCTGAGTAAGAAGTCTAGCAAAAGCTACATTTCGAGTAAACAAGAGGTAAACATGTGACCATTGGGTAGATGCATCAAACCATAAAATATTGAAATGGTCCACACGGTGGTTGAATATGCCCACAAATATTCCCTTGAATTCTTTGCAAAAATGATGGGGATTCAACATCAATCTTTAGTTGTGATGGTTTAATTACCAACTTCCCTTGAGAACAAGCCTTGTAAAGGTTTTCATTTGAGATAGCAAGGTGTCTGCTCAATAATGGATGTCCATTACAGTTGGTAATGATTCTACCCATCATGGTGGATCTTGGATAACCCAGACGATCATGCCAAAGCATGTAAGTTTTTGCATCAATGAACTTTTGGTTCATGACAGTATATGCTTCAATTGTCTTTATGTATGTATAATACAATCCACTCGATAAACCACGTAACTTCTCCAATGTATGCTTCTGGGTATTATTGGAGGTAATGCATAGATATTCCACATTTTATGCACTTTTTCGTTTCAATGTGGTATCCATTTAAACGTATGTCTTTAAAACTCAACAAATTTCAAGTAGATCGAGTAGCGTACAACGTATTTTGTATGGACAATATTGTTCCATTTGGTAACATGATATGGGCTTTTCCTAAGCCTTCAATTACATTTGACTGGCCTGATATTGCTGTTACCTTTACTTTTGTAAGCATAAAGCTTGAGAAATATTTTCGACCTTGAAGTATTGTATGCGTGGTTGCGCTATCTGCAAAACAAATATCTCCGCCATTGCTCCTGTTTTGAGAATAACCGTAGTTTTTATCCATCCTATCTGAGTAAGGGAATCACAGTTAAAAACAATTTATTCATAATAAAATGAAATTGAAATGCCACTTTTATTGAATTGAAATGCAAGCTTTAAACTACGAGTTCAGATAATAAGAGTACATCAAATAAAAATGATTCAATCGGATCGATACACTTCATTCCTTCTTTCCACAATGAAGTCTGAGACATCTAGATGGGTTGTGTTCAATTGCCCTGATAAATCGAACACTGGATCAGGTATATCCATTGGTTTAGCCTGGTCGAGGAAATTGGTTTCGACACCCTTCACCTTGAGGGAAGCTTGATACAGGTCTACCAGATGTTTTGGGGTACGATAGGTACGTGCCCAGTGCCCATTGCCACCACACATATAGCAGGCTCCTTCAGGGTTTCTAGGAGTCTTGTTCATATGGGCTTTACCTTTATGGCGATTTACATTTTTGAAGCTCAGACTTGAATTATGCCTTGGAACCTGGTTGTAAAACTGGACACCATAATTCTTGCCTTTCTCGTTCTACTGGCCTCGCTTGTGGTCACATCCTTGTTTGTAATTATTGCCATGAGAGGATGTGGTGTTCACTTCGAGGAAAACAACATTCACTTCTAGGAATAATGCCGATCTAGTAGGTCGGGACTGATGATTTTTCATTAGAAGCTCATTGTTTTGTTTAACCACAAGGAGCACCGATATTAGTTGGTTGTACTCAGTAAAGCCTTGTTCTCTATATTGCTGCTGCAAAAGCACGTTGGAGGAAAGGTGCTGAAAGTCTTTTCCAACATATCTTCCTCAGTAATGGTCTCCCCACAAAGCTTTATCTGAGAGCTAATTCTGAACATTGCAGAGTTGTACTCTGCAACTGACTTGAAATCCTGGATCCTTAGGTGTGTTTACTCATAACGAGCCCTTAGAAGAATCACCATTTTCTGGTGATTGTATCTATTTCTCAATGCCTTTTAGAGGGCTAATGGATATTCAACCATTAGGTACTCGCACTTCTCCTTCATCAAGATGGTGACGGATAAAGATCATGACCTTCACCCGATGTTAAGAGGATGCACTGTTTTCCTCCTTTATGGTTTCTCCAAGATTCCCTACCTCCAGATGGATCTTGGTATCCACTACCCAGGTAAGGTAGTTCTTCCCAGTAATATCCAGAGCAACAAAATCAAGATTTGCCAAGTTCGTCATTTTCTTTTCTGAAAGAAAAATGAGATGTGTAAGAACTTGCAATAATATGTATTTTAGAGGAATATAGTGTTAGAACTTCTAGTTCTTACAAATTTTTCATTTTGATCTTCATGCCAAAATGATAAGCACTCAAAACTTTAGGCTTGAGATTTACATGATTAATGAGGAGGGCGATTGTACCGCACCACTCTCATTGAAATGATATAGTAAAGTATGGGCGATTATACCGCACCACTCAAGCAACAAGAAAATTTAAATATGCAAAGCATGGTGGACGATTATACCGCACCACCTAAAATTGTAGTAAAATTAAATCTACAGTTCAAGATGGGTAATGATACCACACCATCTTCAATCATAGTACAATTAACATAAATAAACACTGGGTTAGTAATCAGGAGCTACACCAAACAAGAAATCAAAGATATAAGTAATTGTTATATTGAGAACTAGAAGCAGGCATGGTGCTAGCAGTTATTCGTGAGGGTATATCAAGCAGGTGAGGCAAAAGAGGAAGAAGAACAAGAAAATCCTTGGAGGAAGCATTTTTCAGTGAAGGGAGATGAGAACTGGTTAAGGTTAAAGAGTCGTGCTGATAACGTGTTACAAATAGGCAAAGGTTAGAGAGATAACCTTTGCTACAGACAAGAGCGAAGCGGGTGCAAAATATTACACTGTTTAGTTTTGTAATTATAACATAAAAGGATTGCAGGTAAAAAGAGAAAATGAGGGATATTGATATTATTACTTTCATTTCTTTTCTTTTGCAGTGTGTTTTGTGATCATACATAGAGTGCTCTTTATATAGAGCAATATCCATGACAAACCAAACAAATGAAATGATTGCCATTTTTGAAAACATTACACAACAATAAATACATCGCTATTTCCAAGTCTTCCTCATTGTGAGCATTCATTCTCACAATTTTACAACATTTTCAACTTTTTAGTAGGTTTTGTTTCTCATTCATGTTGCTTTCTCTTTGATTTATTCCTCTTTCCTTCTGCTCTTCTTTGTTCCTCATTTCTCTTTCTCTATATTCACATACTTTCTATTTTCGTTTTTAAAATTGAAGGAAAGAGGAAAAGAGTGAGAGAATGTGGGAGTGGAGAGAGAGAGAGAGGGGTTTATTTTTAATGCAGGTGAGGCTTAAACAAAAAAAGTAAAATTTTATTTTGTGAAATTACGTCACTACTCTTAACTTTTTTGCTGTGATAGAAAACTAAATAGTATTTTTACCCTCTTTTGATTTAAACCAATGGCTAAAAAAAAATGTTCAAAAAACACTCCCATTGGACATCTTCATCAAAATTCCACAACCATTCCAAATTAAAGGCACCTCGATCGACCTCTTCATTACAAGTCAACGTATGTGAGAACATAAATCAAAGAAAAGATGATTGGTCAAATATAGAGGTGTCGTGTTTGAAATCTTTTGTCTGCAGTTGGTAGCTTAATCGGCTATAATCTGCACTCATTAGGAAATGTTAGACTTTGTTTTCTCTAATTAAAAGTTAATTTAAAGGCTAATTAATTAATTGAGAAAAGAAAAGATTATCCCAATTTGCTTTTGCTTCTTTACTATCTCTCCAGATTCTCTTTGTGAGATCCAGATAATCTTTTAAGCATGTCCGTTCGTAGTAAATCGTGCGATCAATTTTCGTCAAGTACTATTTGTATTCAATTTTAACTATAATATTTAAAATAATTTCTGACTGCACGATATACAATAAATAAACATGATTAAAGAATCTTCGGAATTTTCACAAAAATGATCCGGAAATGATCCTCATTCTTGCTTTACCGGGCGTCGTAGTTTCTGCGTGGCAAACTATAATCCGGATTCTCTTTCGCAGCCGAAAAGGCAAGCAACTGCCAAGCAATTCTTCACATTAAAATATGAGCCACATGCAACTAATTGACATGAAACAATGTTAATTTGAGTTTAGTAAATTCTTAGTATTTTCCTTCTTGTTTTTGCTAGATTTGTGCGGATCTAATGTAAGATTTGTTTCATATATATTATTAGAAAATTGGGCATGAGATATTTTCGTAGATATGAAGTCTCTTGTAATATAATTACACAAGGAGTGTGCTATTCATATACCATTTTTTTACTTTTCACATACTTTTCACATAGTTTTTACTTTTCACTCTCACTGATTAAACGAGTTCATATTACTATTTTATGTATCGTATCTCTTTCATCACATGACTAAAGCAACGAGTATGGTTGTAAATTATCTCGAAACAACTAGCTTGAGCTCCGCATTTTGTTCGGCTCGACAAAACTAGGCTCTTGAAAGAAACAAGCAAACTCTACGTTCGGCCCGATAAGAGACAAGCCAACAGTTTGAACATTGATATGATTGACTAGTAGAGCTACTGAGCAGCTTGTATTTCCAGTTCAACTTTCCTGTTAAACGATATGAGTTAGTGTGTATAGATATTGTATGATCATTATACCGTTATTACGGTGAGAATACGTCGTCAACAGGGGTCATCCCCAACCCATGTACACAACCACACGAGAGAACTTCTGTACAACCACTACCCTTTTATTCTTTGTCCGATTGAATTTTCATCAATCGCAAGGGCAAAACAGCTTCAAGGGCAGCATAACAGAGCTAATAGCGAGTTCAAACCCATATAGCAAGCATTTGTTTGGGATATAATGCCATACAGTTGATTAGATCTGGAAAAATCATATACGACACGATAACACGAAGACAGTAAAACATTCACAAGTTTTGAGGTCCACAGTCATAGTAGCAAGAAATCTAGAGGCACCCATGGGATGCATCAATCAAGCACCATCAAGAACACAACCTTTCCCTTTCCCTTTTCACAATTTGAAGTCGTTTATTGGAACGAAAATGGTGTGCTGCGAGGTTTAAGGGTAATGAAACAAGAATAAGTAGGTGCTTCAGCTAAGGTGGAACTGTAAGGTTTGAGATTTATTGTAACATATTTGTTCAAACATCCCTTTGTTCAAACATCTCAAACCATTACATATAGGCCAAGGTTTTTACATCACAAAGAATCATAAAACAAAAACTAATTAACTCAAACTCATTCGTCACCAGATTTTCACTGTGGATTTGACGACTGTATCCCATGACACTTGAAAATCTGTCTAAATCCGTAGGCACTAGTATCGTAATTGAACTGGAAGCGTGCAGATATGACAAAAAAGACAACATGTTAGAATAAAAAATGGAGGGGAAAAAAGATGCCGAGTGTCTGTATGCATACATAACAACAATAACAACAACAACAAAGTCTTTTCCCACTAAGTGGGGAGTATGTCTGTATGCATACATGAAGAGTAAAAATTGCTTCATGGGTTTCCCTAGAATATGGAGTGATGTAATCAGGTTGGAATGTGACATGACGGCGGAAAATCCATTTCTTAAGAAAATAACATCATAATTTGTAAGCAAGCTTGGAAACTTATTGGTAGAACTTTCACAGAGTACTTTGTAATATTTGCATCAGAAACCCTTCCCTCGTTCTGTGCCTGCATCAGAAAATTTTTCAAATAAGCGAAAGACAAGCAGGGGCATAGTGCCTAAGAGGTCTCAGTCAAAATTACAATCGAAAACCCTCAGCATATCACAAAGCTGGTCATGGAAAGAGAATCACTACTTTCTCTTATTTTCCAGAAAGGAACAAATACATCATGAAGTTTCCATTTTTATCCCGAATTTGTTTGATGGCCTTTAACCCACTACAATGAAAAATTAAATGCCATGATGGAACCATGATCAGATTGCGTGCCACCAAGACTTGTTTGAATGCTACAGAAAATAAAACGGACTCGCTTCAAGTTCAAGGTTCAAAACAAGAGAACAATTTAAAACATGTATTGGGACAAACAAAAATAGGCATTTTAGAGGAAAAAAATGTTGTCTTACTTGTTGTGGACTATGAAATATTTCTATAAATGGATATTCCTTCCTCTGCCGTGTTATACAGAAACCAAGATATTTTGGGCATTCGACCTGAAAATGCCAATGCAAGAACAAAACATAAGAGATTACCGTTTTAAGGGAAGATTAACAGAAAATTATGTGAAAGTTGCCTCAAGAATTATAAAAGCATGCTTTCATCAAAGACATAGCTCTTTCTTCATTTTTTCTGGTGTGGGCAGCTCTCGACTTTAAACCTAACACCTCCCGCTTTGAAAGAATGCCAAAAATATCATTGGGCTATAAGGTCCAAAGGTAAAGGCACAAGCTCTAAATCACACATGCTGCTTATACATATGTTTTCAAGGCTCATACTAGCGTACAACATGTTTGAGCATTCATAACTGAAGGCAAAAAATTGATATCATTAATAATTAATGGTAGTATTTGTTTACTTACGTGCATAAATTTTACATGTGGATAAAACTCAGCCGCAGCTTCCTCCAATACTCCATCAAGATGTTTTGTGAGATTACACCTGTATTATCCGAAGCAAGTATTTAAACCTCTAACTGAAGAGAGTAGGTTTAACATAAAAAATAAAAAATGATGGAGACCAACTCTAGATGACCTGAGGGTGAATGCAACAACCACAGGGTGGCCTTCATGAAGAAGCTGGACAAACTCGCGTTCTGATGTAAAATGGATGACCCTTGATGGCCCAAGATCCTTTGGATAACCAGTATAATACCTTATATTACAGACCATAAACATAAGGAGTTGGAAGTGGTACAACCGTAATACAGTCAAGTTTGATTAGACGACCATGATAAGAGGTAGTGTAGGGAAAGCCCAGAATTAAGAAGTGCCTACATCCTAAACTGAACTTTTAAATACTTTATCAAGATTCAAGACCAACGGAAGTGGTTCAAGATACAAAAAACAGCAGTAAAAGGCCTTAGAAAAACAAAAATATATCATCTTAAGATCGAAAATGACAAGTAAAATTATAATGCTCATACTTGGATGTTGCACGGAGATGGCTGATCATTTTATCAAAAAGTGATGGCTCCCCCATTTAATAAGCAACAACAACAACAACAACAAAGCCTTTTCCCACTAAGTGGGGTCGGCTATATGAATCCTAGAACGCCATTGCGCTCGGTTTTGTGTCATGCCCTCCGTTAGATCCAAGTACTCTAAGTCTTTTCTTAGAGTCTCTTCCAAAGTTTTCCTAGGTCTTCCTCTACCCCTTCGGCCCTGAACCTCTGTCCCGTAGTCACATCTTCGAACCGGAGCGTCAGTCGGCCTTCTTTGCACATGTCCAAATCACCAGAGCCGATTTTCTCTCATCTTTCCTACAATTTCGGCTACTCCTACTTTACCTCGGATATCCTCATTCCCAATCTTATCCTTTCTCGTGTGCCCACACATCCCACGAAGCATCCTCATCTCCGCTACACCCATTTTGTGTACGTGTTGATGCTTCACCACCCAACATTCTCTGCCATACAACATCGCTGGCCTTATTGCCGTCCTATAAAATTTTCCCTTGAGCTTCAGTGGCCTACGACGGTCACACAACACGCCGGATGCACTCTTTCCATCCAGCTCGTATTCTATGGTTGAGATCTCCATCTAATTCTCCGTTCTCTTGCAAGATAGATCCTAGGTAACGAAAACGGTCGCTTTTTGTGATCTTCGCTAGATTGCTCCGGTCATTAGTGTGGATAAGTATATAAATGGATAGAGATAGGAAAGCAAACACAAGATGTACGTGGTTCACCCAGATTGGCTACGCCCACGGAATAGAAGAGTTCTCATTAATTGTGAAGGGTTTACACAAGTACATAGGTTCAAGCTCTCCTTTAGTGAGTACGAGTGAATGATTTAGTACAAATGACATTAGGAAATATTGTGGGATAATGATCTCGTAATCACGAAACTTCTAAGTATCGGAGTGTGGTGTCGTCTTGACTTGCCTTATCTGTCTCATAGGTAGATGTGGCATCTTCTCTGGAAGTACTCTTCCTCCATCCAGGGGTGGTATCTTTAACTGGTGGAGATGCACAAGGTAATGTATCAATTTCACTTGAAGCTTACTTGTAGTTTCAGGCTTGGTCAAGCGCGATACAAACCATGTAGTAGGAGTCCCCCAAGTCGCCGAGCTAGGGGGTCTGCTGAAAGAGGTGACAGACAAGGTAAGCAATCAGAGCTCCGACTGATTGTTCACCTTCTCCCCATCTTGCAGCAGCATGAAGGATAAAGAGAAGAAAAATGAGAAGAGATGATATGAGATACTTTTGCTTTTGAAGAAGTAACTTTCCACAGGCTTATTCTTGAACTGAGCTGGAGGGTTTTCTGGTTTCCTCCAGAGTATAAGGCCGACTGAAGAATTTGAGGGTCAAAACAAGTCCATCAAATCTAGAGTACGTTCCACCCTGCTGATATGGGATACTTTTGCTTTTGACAGAGTAATGGATGTATCGGCACGTGTGCTGTTACGCTTGTCTCCACATGCTTCCTTGTATCCTTCGCACTTGCCCTGTCTGTTCCTCAAGCAGATGCGGAATCTTCCCTGGAAACATAAGATGATGAAGATGAGTACTCGAGAGCAATGCCAGGTAAGTAATCAGGTAAGGGGTTCCAGGCAGTCAGTTCCTGGCTGGAAGCTTGATTCCAAGTACTGACTGATTGCTCTCTTTCTCCTTGTCTTGCAGGTAAAAACAAGGCCAAAAGAAAAAACAGGGAAAAAGCATGATATGGGATACTCTTGCTTTTAACCCTGATGATATGAGATATTCTTGCTCTAGTATAGCTTGTTTGCAGAGGTATTATCGGGGGGAAAGAAAGCTGAATATTTCGAAAGGCTTTGTTGGGAGTGCCCTCTCAGATATGATGAAGGGTTGAGCATTTTTGCAGGTCTGCCTGTCCGTTGGGGATGGAGGTCGACATATATAGGAGTCTCCCTAACAACAAGTAGTAATGCTATTCCTTTACCCTGCTTGGTCATAGCACGGTAGTGGGAGCTGCCAGTTTCACATGTTTTAACTCTGTCAGAGCACTTTGAAAAAGTGGTCTGTGGTATCTGGCTCTCGAGATTCGGAGAACGATGCCTCTTCGATTTTTGAGAAAGCAATCATGCTGGGGGTCTGACTCTCGAGATTCGGAGAGCAGTGTCTCTTCGATTTTTGAGGAAGTAATCATGTTGGGAGTCTGGCTCTCGAGATTCGGAAGGCGGTGCCTCTTCGATTTTGGAGCAAGCAATCTTGTTGGGAGTGTTGTCTCGAATGTGAGTAAAGGTTGGACATGTTTGCTAGTCTACCTTGCCACGAAGCACAAAGGTTGACACACAGGGACTTTCCAATTATCCAGCAATGGTACTGTTCATTTACCCTCTCTTCGATTTTGAGAAAGTAGTCATGTTGGGAGTCTGACTCTCGAGATTCGGAAGACGGTGCCTCTTCGATTTTGGAGCAAGCAATCTTGTTGGGACTGTTTTCTCGAATGTGAGTAAAGGTTGGGCATGTTTGCTAGTCTACCTTGCCACGAAGCACAGAGGTTGACACACAGGGACTTTCCAATTATCCAGCAGTGGTACTGTTCCTTTACCCTTGTGGGTAATAATATGGTAACTAGACATTCAAAATTTATGTGTCTAAACTTTGTTAGTGCTGTTTCTTTGCTATTCTTTTACCTTTCTTGGTCAGAGCGATGTAGTGGGAGCTGCAAGCTTCACGTGCTCAACTTTGGCAGAGAACTTTGGCAACGTGATCTGTGGTACCCATGAGTTATTGTTGCGTGTGGGAAGTGGGTGATTGAACAGTAAGATTCATGTGCTTTCTACTTCACCAGAAGTCTTCGACAAAATGCCCATAATTTCTGCAAAGCTGAGTGTGCGTGTGACAGGTGCTGACAAGGCTAGAAAAGTAGGTGCCTCTTCGATTTCTGAGATCGGCCCTCGTGGTCTCTGAGCAGCCCAGCTTTTGAGAAAGCGAGCGCCTCTTCGATTGATTCGGAGAACGGTGCCTCACCGATTTTTGAGAAAGCAATCATGCTGGGGGTCTGGCTCTCGAGATTCGGGGAGCAGTGTCTCTTCGATTTTTGAGAAAGTAATAATGTTGGGAGAGTGGCTCTCGAGATTCGGAGGGTGGTGCCTCTTCGATTTTGGAGCAAGCAATCTTGTTGGGAGTGTTTTCTCGAATGTGAGTAAAGGTTGGGCATGTTTGCTAGTCTACCTTGCCACGAAGCACAGAGGTTGACACACAGGGACTTTCCAATTATCCAGCAATGGTACTGTTCCTTTACCCGCTCTTCGATTTTTAAGAAAGTAGTCATGTTAGGAGTCTGGCTCTTTAGATTCGGAGGACGGTGCCTCTTCGATTTTGGAGCAAGCAATCTTATTGGGAGTGTTTTCTCGAATGTGAGTAAAGGTTGGGCATGTTTGCTAGTCTACCTTGCCACGAAGCACAGAGGTTGACATACATGGACTTTCCAATTATCCAGCAGTGGTACTGTTCCTTTACCCTTGTGGGTAATAATATGGTAGCTAGACCTTCAAAATTTATGGGTCTAAACTTTGTTAGTGCTGTTTCTTTGCTATTCTTTTACCCTTCTTGGTCAGAGCGATGTAGTGGGAGCTGCAAGCTTCACGTGCTCAACTTTGGCAGAGAACTTTGGCAAAGTTATCTGTGGTACCCATGAGCTATTGTTGCGTGTGGGAAGTGGGTGATTGAACAGTAAGATTCATGTGTTTTCTACTTCCCCAGAAGTCTTTGACAGAATGCCCATAATTTCCGCAAAGCTGAGTGTGCGTGTGACAGGTGCTGACAAGGCTGGAAAAGTAGGTGCCTCTTCGATTTCTGAGATCGGCCCTCGTGGTCTCTAGGGAGCCCAGCTTTTGAGAAAGCGAGCGCCTCTTCGATTTCTGAGATCGGCCTTCGTGGTCTTTGAGCAGCCCAACTTTTGAGAAAGCAAACGGCTCTTCGATTTCTGAGATCAACCCTCGTGATCTCTAAGCAGCCCAACTTTTGAGAAAGCAAACGCCTCTTCGATTTCTGAGCAGGCGCCTCTTTGATTTTTGAAGCTCCGTCGAGTGCAGATTTTTATAGAGGCTGGCATTAAGTTCCAAAGCACACTTGAATCTCCACCAGTAGAAGCTTCATTCTTGCACTTCTAATATCTTGATTTGTCCGACCTCTTCTCTCTTCAACACCTTTGAAAATGTCTGGCCCCTCCGACCGTCGTTTTGACTTGAACCTTGTTGAAGAGGCAGCCCCGCCTTCTCCAGACAACATATGGCGCCCATCCTTCGTCTCCCCAACTGGTCCTCTTACCGTTGGGGATTCCGTGATGAAGAATGATATGACCGCTGCGGTGGTGGCCAGGAACCTTCTCACTCCCAAAGATAACAGACTACTTTCCAAACGGTCTGATGAGTTAGCTGTTAAGGATTCGCTGGCTCTCAGTGTTCAGTGTGCAGGTTCTGTGTCTAATATGGCCCAACGCCTATTTGCTCGAACCCGCCAAGTTGAATCATTGGCGGCTGAAGTGATGAGTCTCAAACAGGAGATTAGAGGGCTCAAGCATGAGAATAAACAGTTGCACCGGCTCGCACATGACTATGCTACAAACATGAAGAGGAAGCTTGACCAGATGAAGGAAACTGATGGTCAGGTTTTACTTGATCATCAGAGATTTGTGGGTTTGTTCCAAAGGCATTTATTGCCTTCGTCTTCTGGGGCTGTACCGCGTAATGAAGCTCCAAATGATCAACCTCTGATGCCTCCTCCTCCTAGGGTTCTGTCCAGTACTGAGGCTCCAAATGATCCCCCTCCGGTGCCTTCTCTTTCTGGGGCTCTACCGACTGCTGAGACTTCTCCTAAGCAACCTTTGTGAAGGCTCCCTCTTGTGTGTTTATTTTGACTCATGTATATGTACATATTTGTAGCTTATCGGGGATATCAATAAATAAGCTTTCCTTCATTTCAACGTATTGTGTTAAATACACCAAAGCCTTCTTCGCTAAGTTCTTTGAATTTTCTTTTGTTGAAGCTTGTATGTTGAAGCTTTCTGAGTGGAGCATGTAGGTTGGGGTAGTGTTCCCTTAATTTCCCGAGTGAGGAAAACTTCTTGGTTGGAGACTTGGAAAATCCAAGTCACTGAGTGGGATCGGCTATATGAATCTTAGAACGCCATTGTGCTCGATCCTGTGTCATGTCCTTCGTTAGATCCAAGTACTCTAAGTCTTTTCTTAGAGTCTCTTCCAAAGTTTTCCTAGGTCTTCCTCTCTACCCCTTCGGCCCTGAACCTCTGTCCCATAGTCGCATCTTCTAATCGGAGCGGCGTCAGTAGGCCTTCTTTGCACATGTCCAAACCACCGTAACCGATTTTCTCTCATCTTTCCTTCAATTTCGGCTACTCCTACTTTACCCGGATATCCTCATTCCTAATCTTATCCTTTCTCGTGTGCCCACACATCCAACGAAGCATCCTCATCTCCGCTACACCCATTTTGTGTACGTGTTGATGTTTCACCGCCCAACATTCTGTGCCATACAGCATCGCCGGCCTTATTGCCGTCCTATAAAATTTTCCCTTGAGCTTCAGTGGCATACGGCGGTCACACAACACACGCCGGATGCACTCTTCCACTTCATCCATCCAGCTTGTATTCTATGGTTGAGATCTCCATCTAATTCTCCGTTCTTTTGCAAGATAGATCCTAGGTAACGAAAACGGTCGCTCTTTGGTATTTCTTGATCTCCGATCCTCACCCCTAACTCATTTTTGGCCTCCATTTGCACTGAACTTGCACTCCATATATTCTGTCTTTGATCGGCTTAGGCGAAGACCTTTAGATTCCAACACTTCTCTCCAAAGGTTAAGCTTTGCATTTACCCCTTCCTGAGTTTCATCTATCAACACTATATCGTCTGCGAAAAGCATACACCAAGGAATATCATCTTGAATATGTCCTGTTAACTCATCCATTACCAACGCAAAAAGGTAAGGACTTAAGGATGAGCCTTGATGTAATCCTACAGTTATGGGAAAGCTTTCGGTTTGTCCTTCATGAGTTCTTACGGCAGTCTTTGCTCCTTCATACATATCCTTTATAGCTTGGATATATGCTACTCGTACTCCTTTCTTCTCTAAAATCCTCCAAAGAATGTCTCTTGGGACCCTATCATACGCTTTTTCCTTTTCCAAATCTATAAAGACCATGTGTAAATCCTTTTTTCCCATCTCTATATCTTTTCCATCAATCTTCGTAAGAGATAGATTGCCTCCATGGTTGAGCGCCCTGGCATGAACCCGAATTGGTTGTCCGAAACCCGTGTCTCTTGCCTCAATCTATGCTCAATGACTCTCTCCCAGAGCTTCATTGTATGACTCATTAGCTTAATACCCCTATAGTTCATGCAATTTTGTACGTCGCCCTTATTCTTGTAGATAGGCACCAAAGTGCTCGTTCGCCACTCATTTGGCATCTTCTTCGTTTTTCAAAATCCTATTGAAAAGGTCAGTGAGCCATGTTATACCTGTCTCTCCCAAAACTTTCCACACTTCGATTGGTATATCGTCTGGGCCTATTGCTTTTCTATGCTTCATCTTCTTCAAAGCTACAACCACTTCTTCCTTCCGGATTCGACGATAAAAGGAGTAGTTTCTACACTCTTCTGAGTTACTCAACTCCCCTAAAGAAGCACTCCTTTCATGTCCTTCATTGAAAAGATTATGAAAATAACCTCTCCATCTGTCTTTAACCGCGTTCTCTGTAGCAAGAACCTTTCCATCCTCATCCTTGATGCACCTCACTTGGTTTAGGTCCCTTGTCTTCTTTTCCCTTGCTCTAGCTAGTTTATAGATATCCAACTCTCCTTCTTTGGTATCTAGTCGTTTATACATATCGTCGTAAGCCGCTAACTTAGCTTCTCTGACAGCTTTCTTCGCCTCTTGCTTCGCTTTTCTATACCTTTCACCATTTTCATCGGTCCTCTCCTTGTATAAGGCTTTACAACATTCCTTCTTAGCCTTCACCTTTGTTTTGTACCTCCTCATTCCACCACCAAGATTCCTTTTGGTGTGGGGCAAAGCCCTTGGACTCTCCTAATACCTCTTTTTGCTACTTTTCGGATACAACTAGCCATGGAATCCCACATTTTGGCTAGCTTCCCCCTCTCTATCCCACACACATTGGGTGATTACCTTCTCTTTTGAAAATGGCTTGTTTTTTCTTCTTTTAGATTCCACCATCTAGTTCTTGGGCACTTCCAAGTCTTGTTCTTTTGTCTTACTCTTTTGATATGTACATCCATCACCAACAAGCGATGTTGATTAGTCACGCTCTCTCCTGGTATAACTTTGCAATTTGCAATCCTTACAAGTTATACGATCCCCTTTCCTCATTAGAAGAAAATCTATTTTGTGTTTTTTGACGACCCACTCTTGTAGGTGATCACATGTTCTTCTCTCTTCTTAAAGAAGGTGTTGGCTAAGAAGAGATCATATGCCATTGCAAAATCCAAGATAGCTTCCCCATCCTCGTTTCTCTCCCCAAAAACCATGGCCACCATGAAAACCTCCATAGTTGCCTGTCTCCCTGCCCACGTGTCCATTTAAATCTCCTCCTATAAATAACTTCTCAGTCTGAGCAATTCCTTGCACCAAGTCTCCAAGATCTCCCAAAATTTCTCCTTCAAACTCGTATCCAACCCTACTTGAGGTGCGTACGCACTAATCACATTGATAAGTTCTTGTCCTATTACAATCTTGATTGCCATGATTCTATCTCCTACCCTCTTGATATCTACAACATCTTGTACCAAGGTCTTGTCCACGATGATGCCAACACCGTTTCTCGTTCTATTTGTGCCCGAATACCAAAGTTTAAACCCTGAGTTTTCTAGATCCTTTGCCTTACTACCAACCCACTTAGTTTCTTGTAGGCACATAATATTTATCCTTCTCCTCACCATAACTTCCACTACTTCCATAGATTTTCCCGTTAAGGTTCCTATATTCCACGTTCCTAAACGCATTTTGCTCTCTTGAACTCTACCCTTCTGTCCTAGCTTCTTCCCCCATTTAATAAGCAATACACAAAATATCCTGCATGTTAATTTGATGGTAGTTATTCAACTAATTGCCACTATAATACTGAGAGAATGAAAAAACGCAAAAGATTCATGAACCATCAGCCATAGAATGCATAATGATCAAGTCTGTATTTTTCCACATCAAACTGAACCCAGCTGTTCCCACTGTCAGGCATTTCATCAAACACATCCAGTACTTCAAAAGAAAGAGAAATTTTCAAAGTACCTGGTATTCAAGCGAGTGTTCCACGCGTCATAAGTGAAGGGACACAAAAAACATATATCATTTCCTCCACTTGTATTATGACATGCGGTGCCCCCGCTTGAATACACCGCAGTTGGAAAAATCTATAAGAAGGAGAACCTTTTCTACAGACCATGCGAAATGAAGCACGCAGAACAACACGGTTACTGCATTAGAGGTGTGTTCTACTAAAACCCATTTCTCAGCAGAACTCCAACGAACAGTTGAGCTCACAAAACGCAACTTGCGCTCTGTTTCTTAACGAAATGATAGAAAGGAACAAACTTGGATTCCATGAACAACTACACAAAATTTGAGGATTAAAAACATAAGAAAATATGTATAATTACGGTACAGAAGACGAGGGAAATCACAAACTACCTGGGTGGGTCGCGGCCAATTAAATTCTACAGAAAATTAGGGTTTGCGCAACGGCAACAATCAATCTGAAAATCCCAATAGATCTTTTGTAATAAGCGACTTGCCAAAACCCAAAGCCCTGCCGTTCTCGATCAAAAGCCGCTGCATCCAAAGAGCTGAGAACTAGATTAAATTCAAATTTGCCCACTTACATTTTGTTTTTGTCCTACTTTGGTCTCCCAACTTTGTTTTCGTCCCAAACTGATCCCTCAGCTCCAGGGTGCAAGTTGGATTGAAAATTCCAATTTGAACAAAAAAAATTCCACTCTGAGTCCGAACATTTCTGATTCTAAAAAATTTTAAAAAATTTGGATGGCAATTAGAATGTATCGATCCTAAATTTTTCGAACTTAGTGTAATAAAAAAAAAACTCACGCGTATTCTTATTTTATCATGTTTATTGTTATATTTAAATATGCTTTATTTCTTAGTTTGTATATTTTAGGCTTTTTTTTTCTTGATTCCTGTGATGAGACACTATTTTTAAATCAATCAATGTGGTGAAAAAAGTGTTAATCTTAACATTGTGATGAAGTTCGTTATCAATCATAGTTCAAATTAAAACTTCTGTCAAAATCTCATTCACATGTAGGGATAAAAAGGTCATTCCATTCTTTTTCTTTTCTTTTTGGTAATTCTACTTTTTTTATAATTAACAAAAATAGAAGGAAAAAAAGAAAAGAAATCCCTCCCCAATCCCTACCCGTGTCAGCCATAGCCACAACGACCACCCATCACCTTCCCCCTTTCTCTCACATAACCCTAGCCATCTCGTCCACCACTATTCTTCTTGAAATGAAACTATATTCAATGTTTGCATAATAACTTATATTCTAACCTAAATACAGCGAGATACTTTGTGATTTTTTAAATCTTGAATTTGGACTCTTGGCTCTCTTGAAATGAGAAAGTCTAATAATATGAATCTTGTAATTTTATTGTTTATTTATTCTTTTATTGTTGCTCTAAAAGTTTTAAAAATAAAAAAAATTTATGTCCATTGGCACTTTATGATTGGTTGATGGAATCAATAAAAACGAAAATAACAATTTTGCCCCTACAAATGATAGAAGAATGAGGAAACATCCAATTTGGACTATGATCGATAACGAATTTCACCACAAGATTACAATTAATATAGCTTTTTAACCACATGGATCTATTTAAAAGTAGGGTATCACCACAAGGATCATGAAAAAAATTTGGCCTATATTTTATCATGTCATTATATATTAAAAATAAAGAGTTGTTGTAACATATGCTCTTATCAATATTGTGATTGTGTAAATCATAAGTAGAGATAAAAATAGGAATCATTTGGGATCTAGAAGATATTTCCTAATAGACTTTGTATTATTTGGAGAGCAAGTTTCTTTCCTCCTTATTACTATAAATAAAGGCACAATGATTGGGGAATTAACACACAATTCCTCAAAGCCTATTCTCCACTCTCTTTCTCTCTATGTTGCACCCCTCAGCTAAATATAGGTCACAACATGTTATCAGCACGCTCTTCACGCTGTACTAAAGAGAATTTATATGTCTTCAATCAGGGAAGTATTACGTTTCAATTATTATTTTTAATTGATTAAATTTTGATTTTATTGAATTCATATACTTTATTGATTCAATTTATTTTTCTTATGTTGAACGTGATATAAGCTTTGAAGATGGAAAGCCGAAATTGAAGAAATAATTTTCTGCATCAGACCAGTTCATCCATATCATCACGCAATCAGGTTCTTCCAAAACAACAGTTTTTATCTCAATATTTTTGCAGCCCTGATAGCATGAACATTCACCATAATGCATGACTCAACTTTACGTTTTTCGAATTTTAGATTCTACATAAGTTGTGTATGCATTATATTCATAATTATTGAATTATGTGAGTTTTATATTGCCATGAATTGCATCAAATATATGTTCATTCATTAAAATTATTTGAATATGCATTGAATTGAAAAAAAAAACGAAAAAAAGAAAAGAAATCGGAAACACAACCTGGGTTCTTTGAACCCATGACCTTGCGCCGGTCACCAGGCCTGCAACCTGCGTGACTGAGCCGAGCCTCAAGCCTCAAGCCAGCAGCTCCCTCTTTCCATGAAAACCAAACGACGACGTCCATGGCATCGTCCCTAAATCCCACCCTTGCCTGCAGATGAGTCATGGCACCTACGCCAATTTCCATTGGGACTCACGACCTAAAGTTGTTTTTTTTTTTTGGGCAAATTCATCCTTTCCAACGATGATTATCGAAACTCTCATAGAATTTCATCGAGATTTCTTAGGGTTTCAATTCGAAATCCCCATGGTTTTCACACCCAATGTTGAGAAATCAAAACTATCTGTTCATAATAGGGTTCCAGTTTGAACCTGAACTTCCCCGACCAAAAATTCACCAAGAACACGGCCACCCAATGTGGTGACGCTGGTCTTAACTCCGGCGAACTCATCCAGTAACGTTCGGATGTTTTTGGTCCTTACTCGAGCCCACTTGGGCTTGACTGCTTTTTGGTCCAAAATGTTAGCCCCTTGGGCTTTGATTTCTTAGCCTTTTTGGAGAGATTTATCTGGGCTCACAGATCGTAGCCTGTAACACATAACTCGACCTTACCTTTTTTCTTGTTTGGGCTCGACCCAACACATGACACCAGCTCGAGGGCTATGGTGTCCTATATGCCCATGAAGCACACAATCGCTGCCTCTGTTAGGCTGCTGGATCTTACCTAGTTTTAGGCCTGATTCCTAACTCTCGGCCCTTGACATTCCAACCCATTTTTTGGCTTGGATCCCATTCCTTTTCAGGGCTTTTAATAGCCTATTAAGGCTTTGGTCCAATGCCTTGGGCTAGGGGTGGGCAAACGGGTATAGGAACCGCAGGTCGGGGCGGGTAATCAAGGTTCGAAAGGGGTACGGACTGATTCCTAATTTTTAAAAAGAGAAACTGGGTGGGCCTTTGAAAATTTAGGGGTGGGCCGGTTCCAAAAATATAGAAAACGGGTACCAAGACCGGGCCGTTTGTAATTGCAATGGATGGATGAGATTGAAGAGTAAGCTACCATTCAATCTGAACCGTTAGTTTTACCCTGGTTTCTCTCTCGTCTCGAGTCCTCGACTCTGTCACTGGAGACTGGACCTCGAACTCATTCTCTCTCGTTGTCAAGTGTGCGTTGTCCCTTCCCATCTGTCGTTCTCCATCAGTCATCTCCTCCTATCCATCACTCTTCGTCAGTCGTCTCCCAAAACCCTTCTCCAATGGTGGTCCAGCACCCAGCTCTACAGGGAGTTCCAACAAATGTACCTAGATAATGCAAACCCGATGAAGCTGATTTTGAGGATAAAGAAGATTCAAGAATAATTGTCAACTTTGGAAGATCCGTGCCGCAAACTTCTTTCGGCCAAACAACTAATTTTCAATTTTCTTTTTCAGATAAAATTGGGAAACTTTAGTTTTTAATTTTGATTTTTGGGTTTTGAAGGATTTGATTGATAAGGCTAGGACAACTCTGGTTGAGAACAGAAACCAATTGCATAAACTCCAATGTATTGGTGTGGGCAGGGTCCGATTCGGGGGCACCCATCGGTACGAGTTCCGGGTTAGATTCGAGAAGATCCACGTCGGCGTCTTGTACTTTGACGACGTTGCTTCCTGGAATAAGTTCAGGAAACCCAGGACCCATCTGGGTTTTCATTAATCTGCAGGTATGGTTTGAGGAGATTTATAACTTTGTATTAATTACAAATTGCTGGGTTTTTATCAATTTGCAGGTATCATTGCCTTTTGCTGTAATTTCTCTTCTCCTTACTTTGTCTGAGCAGTCTCAATTGATTTGTTGATGGTTTTTTTTTATATGAAACTCAGGTGTTATCAATCAATTTTTTGTTATATTATATGTATATATGAATTGTTTGCTTACTGGAAGTGGAAGTAAGTTGGGAATTTGATTGGTTTTTTATATGAAATTCAAACCTAATACTTTTGAACTATCAGTTCATGTTCTTGTAATAGACTGCTTAATGGAGTTACTTAGTACAGACTTTATATGCTGAGTGATGAATCTCAAAAGTGGACCTTCATACTATTAATTATTATTTGTTAAGCGATTAATCATGTGGGGTTCAAATTAGATGACTGAATTCTTCGTTCAACTGCTATGTCTCTTGTAAATATGACCAAAGCTTGTCCAATGCCATAAACTGCTAATCTGGCTAGCGCCATCAATTCTATTCTTTCTTGAAATTGTTCATGTGTTTTCGAAGATTTGTTGATTTACTCTCTACTAATAATAAGATTTGTGAAAAAGTAGTTTGTGACCAAATATTCCTACCATTTATTTGCAGCCCTCCCTTGTGCAGCTATAACACCAATGTTAGCTTAGCAGTTTATAATTAAGGCTAATATGAAACTCCATTATTTGTAATGCAATTTTCTGAACATTCACATTCAATTAAATTACATGTCAATCAAACCTATATAACCTGCTCCCCCTCTCCTTATTTTTCAAGTTTTGTTGCTTGCCAAAATTGGCGGAAAAAAGGGGGGAATGTCTGATTGCATTCTTCTGTGTGGCTTTAGCTGGATTTTTTACTTTAACTGGTTTTAGATTTTCATGATTCACACGCCCCTGTTTATTTCTGGATCGAAAATGGATGTTCCCTTTATTTTAATCAAGAAGTTATGCAATCGTTGGCCCTAAAATTGTATGCATTAGGGCTGGGTTCGGTTTGAAACGGTTCAGTTTTTTGCCAAAACCGAAACCAAACTGAAATTTCGGTTCGGTTCGGTTCGGTTCAAAAAAATTTCAGTTTTTTTCGTTTCGGTTTTTTTCAGTTTCGATTTTTTTTCGGTTTGGTTTCGGTCTGGTTTGGTTTTTTTCATTATTATTATTATTATTTTTAATATCTGGATATTAGTAATCTAGCCCAAAAGAGGACCTGCCAAACTAGCCCAATAGATCCAACAAACAATACAGAGGCCCAAGCCATAAAATACAACAAAAGAAAACCTAGGGTTCTACTGCAGCATCCGCCGCCGAGCATCCCTACTAGCACAAACCCTCGCCATCAACCAATCGACGCCTCACCGATTGTAACATCCGGCCACGAGCACCTGTCCGAACACAACCAAACAGACGAGATCCAAGGGTTTAATAAAGAGTATAGATCCAAAGACCAAAGATCTTTACCACATAAATTCAAGAACAACATCAGCCAATTTTTCTTCAAAAATTCACAAAGCATAGTCAACAAATAATTCACATAGCATAGTCAACAAACCAAAGAAATAAAAATTTTAATCAATACATAAAAAAAAAAAAAAAAATCTACCATTTTCAGCACTCAAAG